TGAGAATACCTTATATTATCTATCAATAGGCTTTTCATTTCTATATTCTTCTGGCTACAAAGCTGTAACTAGAGAAACCCATGGGAATAGCAGGGGCCTATTAGCGATCAAGGCAGTGATGTTGAAAAGGCAATGTTAATGAAATTATACAATCATTAACCCGAAGTGGGAAAAATAAAAAGAATCAATAAAAACTCTATTTTAGATGGTTTAGACGTATATATAAGAAGCCAGCCCAGGAGCAGTTTGTTTGCTGACAGGCATTTCGTGTCTCATTATCAGGTTTTCTATGCAGGGTAAGAAATGCTTGTGGCATAAGGAATGGAAAATGTAACAAAGGCTAAATGTAGCCTAAGGAAATGAAATGATGTATGAAAATTAATAATTAACTGGCTCATCAGATGAATTATGACTCTAGATGAGTCTGTTAGTAATATTAACTAAGAAAGGGCTTTTGGCTGTAAATAGACATTATGAAACTCGTGTTTTTGGAATTTTCTTGAAGGGATGAGTTAACATTGTTCTGTGTAATCTTTTAATCCACAAGGCACAGTGCCTTGAGCTTTGGGTAGAAGGTAGAGTCATGATCTTGTATTTTGATTAAAGTCATAGCTTTTCCAGAAATCTAATGAAATTATCATTAAGTGATTTTGTGCCTTGGTTTTCTTAGGAGTTAAGTAACTTCCTCTCTGACTTGACTTACAGGAATGTGTTTTAAGAGTTTTCAAGTGGCCGAAAGGAAAGATTTATTAACTTATGTTGACTCATATAGCAGAATGAATGAACATTTTCATTGTTTGAACCAAAGGAGTATTAAAAATCTAAATGTATTAATATGTCAGATCCAAAGTACCCTAAATTTATACTTCTGGGGGTTCCATGCTTTTTCTTCTTTTTTTCTGTTGATGCCTGGGTTTAGAGTAGTTGGATGGGGGACAGGGGAGAAAGTAATGGTGGAGAACTTGATTAAGTTTTTAAATAGAAAGATGCTCTTTCAGTGGAATCCTACCAGTCAGGTTTTGATAGTGATTAGTTGTGATTTTACTTTCTGGCAAAGTGTAGGAAAATTTGACCCCAATGTTCATTTTTCAAGGTGGGTATTGTCTTTCAGCACATCTCTGATGTGATGGAGACAGTAGAGATTACTGTTGTTTTTGCTTTCATATCCACCCAATCCCTTTAAGTGCCGTAGGTATAAAAATCTACATATTTATCCTTCATCATAGTTAATGAGTATTTTCCATAATCTTCCTCTTCTTAATTATCTGGAAGAACAAAATTTCAAGTGATTATCACCAAATTCTTCATTTTGTGGATGAAAAACTGTCCAGAGATGTAAATGATTTGCCACAATTTGAACTCAGGTGTCCTAACTTCTACTTGAGTACTCTATTCACTCCGACTCAGTGAGGATGGGTCTTTCTTAAAAGTTAGCTGTTTATTCCTTTTTTGTTACCAAGTGGGCTTCGAATTATGATCATATGACCTGGCCAAAAAGCACGTAAAATATTATATAATATAAATAAACAAATTGATTTTTAAATTCTGGTGTCTAATGCTTAAAAAATTTGTTGGTGTAATTAATGTGAAAACTGGATTATTTGGCATATTTTCTCATACAGTTTATTTTACTTTTGTCTTGAGGCTGGTTTTTCTCAGCTCACACACCATTGACCTATTGGTTTTTCTTTATGGTATTAATCACTTTACTTTCTGGCTGTTGCTTTTTTAGTAATAAAATTTAAGTACATTTTTGTTGTTGTTTTTACTTTCACCCTAAAGCTGTTTAAAACAGGAGTGTGATTTATAAAAAATAAGAATAAAATAAATATCCGGGCAGGTATGAGTTCTGATAATTAAGTTCTCAGTTCTTTAATTATTTTTCCTTCTTACAAATTCACCTTCTTAATGATCTAACCTAATGCTGAATACTTACTTATATGTTTGTTTGTTTGTTTTTTTCTGCGGTATGCGGGCCTCTCACTGTTGTGGCCTCTCCCGTTGTGGAGCACAGGCTCCAGACGCGCAGGCTCAGTGGCCATGGCTCACGGGCCCAGCCGCTCCGCAGCATGTGGGATCTTCCTGGACCGGGGCACGAACCTGCGTCCCCAGCATCGGCAGGCGGACTCTCAACCACTGCGCCACCAGGGAAGCCCTTATTTATATGTTTTTACCCAGATTTTTTATGAGAATTCCTGCTTATATATGATCTTGATGCCAAAATCGACTCCCTTATTTTTAAAAAACCTGGAAATGGGCATAGTCTGCAAATCTGCAGAAACTTGTCACTTGGCCCATGGTCTTAGTGACTCATATTTCCACTCATGTTGGATAATTCCTTATTTTCAACAAATTGCCAATACAGCATATTTATTTTGCCTTTTTTTTGGTTGGTACTGAATAAGTGCTTTCTTCTGCAGGGTTCAAAGTGCCTCAGAAAACACTGTTTTATCAGTGAATGGAGAATAGATGGCCAATATCATCTGGCAAAGCACAGAGACATTAAATGACTCTTGCCCACAATCAACCAGTGAATCAACAGACCAGCTGGTAGTATACTTGAGTTCTTCTAAATGGATGCAGCAGAAAAGGCATTGGAATTTTTTTAGCATTAAAAAAAAAACCTACAACAGTCTGATACCAGGGTTCATTTCTTATTGTTCCATAACAAACTTAAATGATGCAGTTTTGGATAATCTTCATTAGATTTATTTGTCCCGTCTTGGCCACTGTAGTGGAGGGAAGGACAGGAGTGAGACCTAGGATTGTTTCCGAGGAGGCATGTCAGTATTAAATGTGGCAGACTGATAGAATTCTTAATAAAATGGAGACTTGATAAAGGTGAAGAAAACATTCCAGATTTATATTGTTGGTAATTTTGGAAGTTCCTCAACGTATGGGCATACACAGTCAACTTTGCAGAAGGCACAGTGAGTGCTTAGCTTGAAAATTAAATACTACAGGTTTCCCCTGCTATCTGAAAGTAGAGTGTTCCTATGAAATCTTTCATCAGCTGAAATGGCGTAAAACGAAGAAGCAATTACCTTAGGACACATGTTGCTAAGGGATGCACAAAATAAAATGAGATAAAGCACAGATGTTCACAGACACAGTTCAACGCTCTGGAGGCTTGACGTTGAGATGCTGAGCGTAGTTCCCAGTGAAGGAGCACTCTCACTGCTTGGGGTGAGTACTGCCTCTATAATGGCTCCCTGCAAAACAAATGCTAAAGCTGTTTTTGCTTTTCACCTTTTTTCATACAAGTGAAAATCCTCCTCAAATTTCTTTTGGTTAGTGAAAACAGGTACTTAGGTAAGTTTTATAAAAGCAAAGTGGCGTAAGGTGAAATTTTGAAAAGCAAGGGATACCTGTATTTTTGATTTTCTAAAACGATAAAAAAAAATTCTTCACAAAAGGTTTGCTGTCCTTGATATCTTGTACTTGATGATTTATGGAACATTCATTTGGGAGTTGAGTTGGAAATATTCGTCTAAGACATTGAGTGGATCATAGAGAAAAAGTAGGAATCATCCAGTTGAGGATATCTGGCCATTACTACTTTGCACTCAGTCTGTATCTCTTGTGTTTGTTCAGCTTTGGCTTCTTTCCATGACTATCATGCCTGTATAAAAGAATACAGATTGTGACTATGTCGGTCATTTATTTGGAATAGTGGCACTTAGTCATGTTATTACACACATTTTGGGGAACTGTGGATCAAGGGAGGAAAAGGCCTTTCCTAATGATTTATAACCAGGAGGTACTGACATTATTATATATGGATGGATGATGATGTCCTGTGGCCACGTCACTACTTTTGGTTCTGGCTCTGCCACTTGAGGAAGGGAGTGGTAGGATGGCAGATGGAAGTTTCATGGAACTACTGTCAGTTTACTGTGTATGGTGCATGATGAACATACTCACCTTTAGAAGGGTTGTTTTGTCCTTATGCTTTCCATAAAGCATTTCACACAGGCTTTTCCTTTTCTAGGATTGTACTGGAAGATGAGAGTATTGTGATGTTGATTCTATTTCCTTCCCCATAACTCAGGATCAATATAGAACCAAGACTCTAACGCTGCTGTGAATATTTGGATATATGGATATATGAAGCCTTTGTGAGATTCCCATGCCTATTTTTTTATCCTTTGTAAATCTAGGGACTGTGAAAAAGATTGCTCGTAGAGTAAAAATCTGAGATGGTTTAATGTCCTCATAATCTCTTTTAGAGGTTATATAGGCTTTTTAAAATTTTTTCTTAATTTATTTTTGGCTGTACTGGGTCTTTGTTGCTGTGCAGCTTTCTCTAGTTGCGGTGAGCGGGGGCTACTCTTCGTTGTGGTGTGCGGGCCTCTCATTGCGGTGGTTTCTTGTGAAGCACAGGCTCTAGGCACGCAGGCTTCAGTAGTTGTGGCTCGCAGGCTCTAGAGCGCAGGCTCAGTAGTTGTGGCGCACGGGCTTAGTTGCTCCGCGGCATGTGGGATCTTCCAGGACCAGGACTCAAACCCATGTCCCCTGCATTGGCAGGTGGATTCTTAACCACTGCGCCACCAGGGAAGCCCTGTATTGGCTTTTCGTTTGTTTACTGGAATCTTTGAAGCACTAGTCTCACAGCTCATGAAGGTGATGCTTTTGGGTTTCCCAGGATGCACTGTAGCAATTGTGAACTAGTACAGACAAATCCTCTACGGAGCAAAATAAGTTTCATTTTGCAAGCTGGCACCAGTAGATTGGTTATAGTTGCCAAGAGCACTGTATTGAGAAGGGTTCAGTGGCAAAAAAAACAATGCAGTGATCCATAATCCATGTCTACAACGAGTGCAGGAGGGGAGAGTGCCTGACAATGAACCATGTATTAGATAACCCTGTTCTACATAAAAGACCGTTTTGCTGAGAGTGCTTCTTTCCTTCCTGATATGAATGCTACACAGGTTGAAAACTTGTTGTAATTTATTTTCCTTTTTACTTTTAAAAATGCCTGTATTTATTTTTTTAAACAGGCTAATAAACCACACCATGGATAACTTATTGGACTTTGCCTGAAAGGAATCATTAGTGTCATTGGATATTTGACCAACCTGGCTACAGGTTTTGTCAGAATGAATGGAAGGTCATGCAGCATGAATCTCCACCGGACATCAGGAACCCCACAGGGGCCTGGGATGGTCAGTGGCCAACATATTCCTCCCATTCGAGCCCACTCGGGGACTCCTGGCCCCTCGTCCTGTGGCAGCACACCAAGCCCTGCCATTGGAAGCCTTGCTAACAGCCTCCATCTCAAGATGCACTCAGGAGGAGGGATGGCTCCTCAGAGCAACATGAATGAGAGCCCCATCCATCTGCCTGCCTTGAGCCCCAGGAGACAAGTGCTCACCAGTGGGAAGCCACGTTTCCAGGTCACCCAGACTGGAGGCATGTCAGGGCCACACACTTTAAAGCCAAAGCAACAGGAGTTTGGAAGCCCCTTTCCTCCAAAATCTGGGAAAGGTAGGATTGTCTTTTTGGGATCTTTTAAAAGTGGACACTATTTTTTTTCTCCTCCTTGTCTCTTCTCTGCCAGCAAATCCAATGGAAAAATACAAGATTCAGTGTCAGGGTCAAAGTTGATAGTCTCATAATGATATGTAGCTTTCTAGGAAAGGATGTGGACGTGTACACATGTGTGAGGGTGAGGGCACCACAGTGGTAAATGTGTCATCTCATGGGACTGTGAAATAGAGTGGAAGATGAGACAGAAGATTGGAAACAGGGAAGTAGGGTGGGTGGTGGCAGAGGAAGGGCAAGAGCAAGTTTAGTATGATCCTGCCCTCTGGATACACAGAGCTCTGCCTTGGCTTACCAGGGGCTGGATTCTGCAGGCCATGGAGGAGATGGGTGGCTGGAACTGTCATTATGTTAGTTGGATGCTAGAAGAAAGGTGGTGTTTGGAAGGAAAAGGATTAAAAAGGGAGAAAATTTAATAGCCAATAAAATGAGGGACTAGTACATAAAATGATAAAAAATTATTCTAAGAGCAAAGCCTATAATTTAAAAAAAAATTATTTATTTTCATTTATTCATTTTTGGCTGCATTGTGTCTTTGTTGCTGTGCACAGGCTTTCTCTAGTTGCGTTGAGCGGGGGTGCTACTCTTCGTTGCGGTGTGCATGCTTCTCCTTGTGGTAGCTTCTCTTGTTGGCTCTAGGCATGCGGGCTTCAGTAGTTGTGGCTCGCGGGCCCTAGAGCGCGGGCTCAGTAGTGGTGGCGCACAGGCTTAGTTGCTCCGTGGAATATGGGATCTTCCTGGACCAGGGACCGAACCTGTGTCCCCTGCATCAGCAGGCGGATTCTTAACCACTGCGCCACCAGGGAAGTCCCTAAACCTATAATTTTTATAATACAGCTAGTGACAAGAGAGAAGGCAGCTAGAAGAGTATAATGAAAAGATGTATTTTTGTGCTTGTTGAGAACTAGAAAAAACTTGTTAATTTGAAATGCAGAGAGAATGCTTTTAATTCAGCAGTGTTTGAATTACCATACGTTTTAAATTAAGAATAATTTTTGGAGAATAACAAATTATTTGAGTGACATGCTCTCTCTAGAAACTGTTGTTGACTTAATGAGGTTATATTGCTAATGATATGTGTATTGGGGCTAGAAAAAGGAGTATGTATCCCATGTAAAATATAGCTTTGTTATATAAAATAGCATGATTATATATTCCTTTAGGTATTTTTAGCATTTAGTTTTAAATGTTTATACTAAGTGTTTATACCACCAAATAAAATTATTAGCAGCCTTGTGAGTAGCCATTCACCCAGTTAACTCATAACTTATCCAATTATGATGAATAATGATTTATATCAGGCAAGTAACCCAAAAGTTGTTTGTTTTAGTGTCTGTGTATTTCTGTATATGGAGAAGTTGGTATAAATGGGTAGCTTAAAAAAAAAAAAAGTAAACATATGTGTAACTTTTTTCTTTTCTTTTTTTACTTACTTTGGTGTAGGCTTGGTTTTGAGGTGTTTTATTTCTCAGAGCTACTGATATTTAGTGTAAGTATAGGAAAAATTTTCCCTGGGGGCTGCATCTGAAATAGCTCTGTCATTGTCAGGTTGCTATGTTCATGACATGGCAAGCTAAGGTTCTTAATGTCAAGCTCATGTGTTTGTATTTTCAGGGACTGAGGCCCAGTAAAATCTTTCAGCTCATGCTTGACTAGTGAACTGTAGCTTGCTTTATATATACTTGTGTTTGAAATCCTGACTGGCAATAATAATGGTGATAATATTAATAACTTGCACTTATTATATCATAACTTAGCATGTGTCAGGCACCATGTTAAGTGCTTTCCAGTACATAGTCTCAGTTATTCCTCACGACAGCCCTGAGTTGTATGCTATTGTTGGTTAACTGATAAGGGAACTAAGGTCTAGAAAGAATAAGTAACATAAGCCCTGCCAGGCAATAAAGGAGTTTGGGAATATTACTTTAATAGTGATTAGAAGTGGTTATAATTATAATCGTAGTTTATAAAAAATGCTTCAGGTACTTAAGGAATAACGAACTCTCAGGGTTAATACATCTTGGAACTCATGTAAAACTTAGCACTGCTTCCTGATTCTCTTCTTTTCTGTTTTCTGGCTCCTTGCTCAGCTTATAAGTTTGCAGTGCCTGTTCTGGATCTGCATGATTGGGGCATGGGTAAGGGGTTGAGGACAACTGTATTATTATTCCCCCTTGCCTTGCAGCTTGGATACCACTAGTGGTCTGGATGGTTCCAGGAGTGGCTGAATGTGTCCCTTTCACATCTTGGATAACAATTCCTAAACTAAGCCAGTAACTGTTTGAGAATGGTGATCTGGGAATGTTTGAGCTTCATCCAATCATTTGCTCTACAAATAATTATTGAGCATATGTTATGGGTGAGCCACTGTTTTGGGGTTATAATAGCCAATAAAACATAGTCCTGGCCCTCAAGGAGTTGAGAACTCAGAAAAAATAAATGGGCAGTTAGAATAAAGCATAGTTAAGGCTCTGGTAGAGATAACACTCAGGGTGATAATGGCAGCACTTGGAGGGGTTCCCAGCCGGTGCTTGAAAAGTGGATCTGGGAGGAGAGTAGGGTATCTAGGCAGACACCTGAAGGGTGAGGAGCTAGCCTTACAGTCATGGAAGAGTACGTCCTCTGTATGTGTGAAGGGGCAGGGGCTGTCTGGAACTTACTCTGGGTAGGGAGAAAAGCACGCTCAAAACCTGGAGGGGAGAGACCATGGTGCATTTCATGGACTTCTATCTGGTTTCACATTGAGGGGAGGTGTGGAGACTTTGGTAAGAGATGAGGCTGGAAAAGAATAAGCAGTAGCCAGATGAAGGGTCATGATTGCCATACCAAGGAGTTTGGATCCATCTTGAGGACACTGGCAAGCTGTGGAAGGATTTTAATCTTGGGGATGACGTGATAAACTTGAGGTTGACATCTCTCCCTGATTTTGCCACTGCTTTCCCATGTGCTATTGACAGTGTCATGATCCAAAAGGGTAAGTGCCAAAGAACCTGTGACTCTGTGGGTGTATTAGGGTTCTCCAGGGAAACAGAACCAATAGGAGGTGTATCTATTGATATATATCTATTTATCTTTCTGTATATCTCCAGTAGAATAAGTTACCTGGGGATTGTCATACAGACAGACATCTGACTTTTTGAAGACTTGAAAATTTCCAGCGGGAGCCTCAAGAGAAATATAAACTTGATTGTAATGTTTATGTTACTTAAGGATTGAGTTCTGCTCATATGAAAACTCAAATAACCATGGCTTTAAAACTGTAGGGTGTGGTTCCCAAATAGTGTGCCGAGGGCACTGGGGTACCACAGGAGACTCAGAGGGAGCCACGAGATATTTTAAAGTTTGCAGGAAGCATGGGAAGTGTGACATCCTTGAACACCAGGCAGACCACTAGTTTGAGGAGGCTCACAGTTTTCACCATGAGATTGCAGTATGTTCTTTTTGATGATATTGTATCTTTGAGAAACTACATATTTGGTAGTTGTGATTAAAAAAAGCAAGTAGTTTGTACATTCATGTTCAGAGCAACATTTTTCACAATAGCTAAAGGTAGAAATAACCCAAGTATACATCAGTGTATGGATGGGTAAACAAAATGTGTCATATCTATACAATGGAATATTATTCAGCCTTCAAACAGAAGGAAATTCTGTTATATGCTACAACATGGATGAACCTTTAAGACATTATGCTAGTGAAATATGCCAGACACAAAAGGACAAATATTGTATGATTCCTCTTATATGAGGTTCTTAGAATAGTCATAGAGACAGGAAGTAGAATGGTGGTTACTGTGGACTAGGGGAGGACAGAATGGGGAGCTATTGTTTAACGGGCACAGAGTTTCAGTTTGGGAAATGAAAAGTGGTGATGATTTTACAACAATGTGAATATATTTAATGCCACTAAACTGTATACTTAAGAAATGGTTAAGATGGGAAATTTTATGTATATTTTACCACAATAAAAAAAGCGCATACTAAGTGAAGATCAGTGTGGACTAGGAGATGAAGGTGGTGATGTCCAATCTGATTCCAAGGTTTGAGAAGTAGTAGAAGGCATAATTGAAATGCACATCCCATTCGTAATTGTGGTTATTTAAAAATGAAATAAAAATGCTTTTTAAAAAATTTATGTGTTAGTTTTTCAAACAGCTAATAAGTTATTAGTACATAATTACTATTCAGTTATTGACACCTAACTACTTAATAAACAGAACTGTTAGGTGTTCCTTTTGGCCTGGGGCGCCATGAAAAAATTACCAAGATGCTAAGAATGCCATGAACTGAGAACATCTGGGACCCTGTGTCTTAGGAGTTCATTTTTCTCACAGAAAGAACAAAGGTAGGTGATTGCTGCTAATGGTTAGAAGCTCAAGGAAGACAGGCTCAAGATCATGGAGCTTCCCTTAGTCTTTCCCTCTCGGTTGCACAGGGGCTGCCTCACTGCAGCGTCTCCATGGGTTTTGTCTTCTGAGGAGGCTGAAGGAGGAAGGAAGAAGGACAAAAGACAGAAAGTCAAAGGGGACTATTGCCCTGCAATCTACCTCCTATAATTGGCTTTTTCAGGAGCCACACTCAACTACTTCCACTTCATTAGCCAATCGTACATAACTGATCTCTTAAATGAAACTTATTCTTGGTTCCTGAGTATATCTTTTTAAAAAAGTTAGATTATATCATTTTGTATTATGTTCTATTGTATTTTACTTTTTAGCATTTGCTACCTTTATCTCTCTCTCAAGTAAGTTGAAACACTTGCAAGTAGGTTGCAGACATTGTGACCCTTTACCCCAAAATTCCTAAGCAGGTATCTTTCATGCCATATAACTAACATACATTAATCATAACCAAAAAATATAGCTTTGATGCAGCAGTATTATTTATAAACAGTTGTATCTTAAAATATAGTTCATACTCAGATTCATTATATATTTTATTTTA